GCCCTTGAACTTAGGGATATTAAATTGATATTATTCCCCATTATTAACTAGAACTAGAACCAACGTTAGACTTGTTAATTAGTTTATTCTAAGATGTTGAAAAAATATCTACAACTATATATTAGAATTTATTTTAATATGTTAATAATGATAAACAACAATGAGATCCAAATCACAAGCCAGAAAGGCACTTTGTTTTATAATTATTGGTTCAAGCTGTAATTATGTGATTAATTTACATATAAGATTTAAGATTCAGCTGGGCAGTTCAACTAATCTATTTATTAATTGCTTAATTATCAGCTAATCAATAACTAAATATAAACTTAAATCTTGTTTATTATCTTACACGTTGTCCGCAAATGGTGGCGAACTTATCGAACCCACCTTGTTTTGACCGTACCACAGTAATGAAGGGCTGAGATAAAAAAAAAAAAAAAAAGTTAGCTGTATCCCTACAGGTCCCACAGAAGTTTCCTGCCACATTTCTGTTCTGTCACTTAAAGCCTGTGACTCGTGACACGAGTATGGCCGTCTACGTCTGTCGAAAAAAGTCGGGCCCATCCAATTTATGCATAAATTTTCACACGTTAAATACAAACAAAGCATGATTGATGATGAAGAATTCTTTTTAAATGATGGAATTATTATGTTGAAAGGTACAATTAGGGGGAAAAATTTGAGCGGTTCGAGATCAGCTCGAATAATTTCGATCGTTACACAAAAAACTCCATTAAGTTCAATTACTCGATTAAAACTTGATTAATTGAATTTAAATTCGATTTTTAAGTATTAATTTTAAGTTCGAACTCGATTCATTAAACTCGATTAGACTCGAACTTGAATTCAGTACTATAACAATCCAATCGATCGGAGTTTGAATACCCAAATATTTGTCTCAATTCGACTTAATGTCACACCTAGGTACAATATTCTTAGAAATAATTACTTTTTTTTTTTTAATTTATAAAATTTAAATTTAACAACTATTTGTAAAAGAGAATATTATGTGTGTGGATTGGATTATTTTATTAAAGATTTTGTTATAACCTTTTAAAAAAGTTTGATAAAGAGCCAATGGGCGTTCAAACCTGCCGGCCACTTTATGGTTTGTATCTTCATTAAAACATAAATCTACACGTGAATTAAAGCTCCCTTTGTATATATTTGTAATTGTTATGCCTGAAAATGTAGGGTTGACGCAACATTCAGCCAGCATAAAAAAGTCACAACTTAGGTAGGCCCACAACTAGTTAGAGGCAACCATGTCGCGTGGTGACAAGAGCAGTACACTCATGCCAGTAAAGTGGGCGCGTGCCAGACCAATCAGAAGCTGTAGTGATTCCACGTGTCAAATTCTTGCATCAAATCGCGTAAATCACTCTAGAAGGTGGGCAATATGACATAAAGAAGGATTTACACGGATAATCCCACAAACTTACAGATTTAGTAATGATAACCTTAATCCATCCTACTATAAATTGAGGACTTCTCTCTCATTTGTGGGGATCGGATGATTCTACCTTTGATAGGCTGTTCTCTCTCAGAAAATATAACATTCTCCTTCTTGTACAATCATTTGTAAGTTAGTCTGCTAACGCGACCTGGCCTCTATCATTAAAACAAAAATCAGTAGACGTAGGATTCGCTTCCTTAGTATCTGAATCGCTTTAAACGCTGTTCTTTATTGTATTTACTCTCTTTTTCATATTTACGTGTATCTTCTGAGCCTGCTCAGCATTTCATATATGCGTTTGGTTAGTATTAAAATTACGTATCAACAGTAATAAATATCAATTGTGAACAGATTTTCTGCCAGATTTTTGCATGAGATGCACATGTTGGTTTAAGAGTCAAAGTAAATATATAGTAATTGAAGAAATCAAACTATTAAATATAGTCCAAAACTATAGTGTAAAAAGGGTCAAGGTTTCACATATTACGATTAAGATCTATAGAAGTAGAAATGTGAACGTCATAAAATATTCCCAATAGGCTGTAGTTTTGGAGACATAATAACAATTTCACGTGGCCTACCCCAGTCCCAGTCGATAGGGTGTGTCATTTTCACCGTTACTTTGCGCCGACAAAACATGGTGGGTTACAACTCATCTCAATATTACATAAAGGAAATCTCCCAATAATTATGACAGTCGATTAGACTAATTTTATTATTATAAAAAGATTATAACTTAATAGAATTATAGTTATAAAAGTTATTATTTTTATTTTTTATTTTATAATTTATATTTTAGTAATATTAGAATTTTAATTCAATGTTTTAATTGCATATTTTTAAAATTAATAAAAGATCGTATCTTGGAATCAGTAAAAATAAGTATCATTGATGGGATTGTAGTCTATAAATATAGTTGATGCATGCAATAGCGGATCCAAACAATTTTTTTAGGGTGAGCCGAAATAAAAACTAATTACATATTAATATTTTTGTTAGGGTGAGCCAAAATCTAAAAATTATATATATTAGTATTTTTTTTAAAAAAAATTGAGGGTGGGCCAAAAAGTGGGCTGGATCCGCCTCTGAATGCATGGTCAATTGATGTGAAATCACAAACAATTGCCAATGGTTTAAAGCATTGTAAAATTAAGACTCCTAATGTCGATGAATTGCAAGCAACAAATGAAGTAGACGAAGTGAATAAAAGAGTCATTGCAAAATTAAGTAATCAGGTTCGACAACTTCACTACACTAATCGAATAGATATTAATGTCTTCTTCGATCATCTAAAAGAGCAACAAATCATATATACTTTAACTGAAGAAGAAATTATTGCTACAATTAGACAATAAGATAAATGAAATAATCTTGAGGATGATAATACGGAAATACAAAAAGTTTTGTGCCATGAAACTCTAAACATGCTTGAGAAATTAAAAATATTTTTGCTTCAATAATAAAGTGTCCATGCTAACAAGCTATTATATACTCGCGAGGTAAAAGATGTGGTAACAACTATAAAATATAAATAATTATCTCAATCAACTTTAGATAAATATATTATTTCATCGTAAACCTTTAATGTAACATAAATATTTTATTTAATCATAAACCTTTAATGTAACATAACTTTTTTTTTTTTTTTGGTAATATATAAATAATTATTATTATATGAAGGTAACTTTTCTTAAGACATAAATTAAAAAAATTATAACTTGTTACATGCATAATTTATTCTTATTTAGAGTATGGAAGTTTTACCGTATTATTGTTCTCATTAATGTTGTAGATTTGTAATGTCTCAACCATGGTTGTTAGTATTCTACGATACCCGATACGTATCATACGATACGATTCGATATAGGTCGTCAACGATACATATCAGAGAGTATATCCTAAACATTCGATACGTTGATATGTATCATACGATACGATACGTATCTATTCGTATCCTTAAAAATATCGATATAAATCGATACGGCTTTATTAATTTGGACCAAAGGTCCAAAAAAAAATTCGGGTCGAAACCGGGTCACCCAACCCGATTCACTAAAACCTGTCCAAATTTATCTATTTTGCATGGAGAAAGTGAAGAGGAATATGTATTGCCCATTTTATATGATAATAATAATATAAGTGGAGATATAGATATTGACATTGATCTTGGAATTTTATGATTAATTTTGATTATGTAATACCGTAATTTAAAGTCAATAATACCACAAAATTCTTTAATTAATCTTGAGGATTATATTAATTTTTAAAAAATTTTGATTATTTTATTAAATTTTTTGAAAAAGGCGTATCTTACGATACGATACGCGATACACGATTCAAAAAATTAGGTTTTTAATATACGATACGATACACGATTTGATAATCATGGTCTCAACCTTAAGGCTTTTTAAGTTTTACCGTTTGGATTTGTGATGAATGATGGAATCTTCATCTTCTGTTCTCCTTGTCTTTTGTCAATCATTTTTGTGCGTGCGTTTTCCTTATTTGTGTTGCTGGAAAGGTTAAAAGCTCTAAAAAAAAGCACTTGCTTTTTGACTTGTCCTACCACAAATTAAAGACAAATCATGCACCTACCCAATATTAAGAGGCTATATATATATATATATATATATTGTCGATCATTTTTGTGGGGTGGGCTCCTAATTTGTGTTAATGGGAAAGTAAAAAGTTAAAAGCTCTCAAAAAGCACTTGCTTTTTGACTATATTTAAACAAGTGTCCTCTTACAAATCATGCACCTAGCCATTATTAAGAGGCTATATATATTCATTAATTTTTTTTTTTTTTTTTGGATAATCAGGATATTATTGCAAGTTTGTATGTATTTCAACTAATTATCAAGGTTTATTAAATACCTTACAAGTCAAAAGATCAGATAAACCACAATATCATTGTGACCCCAAGGTTTGAACCTCGAAACTCAAGGTCAAGGTTACATAGATTCTAATTTTTTTTTTTAATTTTTTTTTTTTTTTTTATGAAACATTTGTGGACTATATGATCTATCCCTTCGTTTATGCAATAATACAAAGTGACAACATCAAATGACAGAAACATTATATATATATATATAGCTTCTTTCAGTGAGATCTAGTGCGTTAAATTATTGACAAAATTTGGTGCTACATGTGCAGATATGAAATACATTTTTATTATACAGCCATCCAACTTGGTCTAACATTATTTTTTAATGATCACATATTCATCTTTAATTATAATAAGTTTGTAACTATATTCAATGGACCCGAAAATTAGTTGAAGTACGCACATACAGGCTCGGACGCCCTGGTTATAAAAAAAAAAAAAGAAAAAAAGTTTGTAGCTGCAAGTCAACCTCCTATACAATAATCAAAATCATGGGCATTGAGTGGCGACCAACATTATTTTATGGGCTTTTAAATTTTTTGACAGCTTTAATCATTATGGGCTGCTCGGAGCATTGAGTGTGCGAAGCCCATCATATTCGGCCACGGAGACTTTGAGAGAGGAGCTACTTTCAGTTTAATTAATGTCTCCGCCAAAAGTTATAGTGTATTTGCTCTGGCTCTGCCCCTTCAAGCCACAACGGAATGAGGCAGTTTCAGTTATTTCAACAGTCATCCCTACTGATACCATGTTACCCATGCAATTTCATGCCTTTGGCTTCTATTTCCATTCCTCAAATTAATCCATATGCTTCTTCCTTCCAAAAATCTCCTTCAGTTTCTTCTCTATCCGTTCCCCCAAAACTCAACTTGTCCCTTAAGCATCTTCCACTTCTTCACTCTTCCCTTATCCTGCGCTCACGATTAGTATGCAGGAGTAGTGGCTCAGGTAATTTACAGTTACTATATAATTTAAGAAATTAAAAAAAAATGGTTTTGTATTTTTACAAACACTTGGCATCCTTTGGTTATGGGTGGCCATTTTGATATTTTTTTGTCCTGCTTTTTTTTTTTGCGTGTAGTAGTAATAATAAGTGTTGAAGCAACATTTGTAATAATAATTGTATTAGATATGATACCGCAGCTTGAAATTGAGAAGCCAGAAGGAACAAGGAAACAGGATAAGCGCGTCAATGGCATATTTTGGATCATACTTATTAATCTCGGACTATATGTGGCCGATCATGTATTTCAGGTAAACACTAAATCTTTAAATTATACATCTATAACTGTAGCAAATGTATTCCATGATGATAATTTTGAGAAAGAACCATTAATTGAAGAAATTGAATATTTTTTGTTGATAGTATGTGCTCTGTTTGGTACTTTGTAATTTGTATGTATAACTTGAACAAACTATTATAATTATTTGCTAAGGAAAATCAATAGAACTTGAATGGCCAAGGAATTTTTACGTGAGAATTATGTTGATGGTAGCGTGGGTACGTTTATCATCAGTCATCTTGTTTTAAATTGCAAGTTGTATCATGCTAACACCTGATTTTCTATTTTAATTAGGTCCGTGGTATTAAATCTTTGTACTTTTACCACAATAGGCCCACTTGGTACCAATTTGTGACTTCAACTTTTTGCCATGCTAACTGGTGAGAATCGAGATGTCTATAATTTGAAATTAGATCCATAGACATTGCACTCGCTTATTACATGATGGTCTCAATAAAGCATCTTCTTGTCTTTTTCAGGAACCATCTTTCCAGCAACCTCTTTTTTTTGTACATCTTTGGTAAGTGTTTGATAGCTCTTTAGTTGGGGAATGCTTTGATTGTTTAACGCCTTGGATGCCATCTATGAGTGAAAACATAATTTTGACTGTCCCTTGATAAATAGGGAAGCTTGTTGAAGAGGAGGAAGGAAACTTTGCATTGTGGCTTTCTTACATTTTTACTGGTGCCGGAGCAAACCTTGTTTCATGGTTGGTCTTACCAAGAAATACAGTTTCTGTTGGAGCCTCTGGTGCTGTTTTTGGATTATTTGCAATTAGTGTCCTTGTAAAGGTATATGAAATTCTAGGATATCTACACGCAGAATGAGTCAATTTTCATGGAGTTTTCACTTCCCTTTTTCCTTATTGTAGATGTCTTGGGACTGGAGGAAGATCCTTGAAGTGCTTATATTGGGGCAATTTGTTATAGAGAAGGTGAGCATTTTCCAAAGTCTGTAAATTATACCATATGAGTTTTTGATGCAAATAATATTTCGTGTGAAGTATATTGGGCCAGTTTGAATTCTTATGACATTATCACCATGAGACTTTATCCCAGTTAAAAAATGCATCATTGTGTTTCTTTTGCTTTAAATTTGCAATTGGTATGTCTGTCAGTATTTTTCTGAAGATTTGCGTGAAGCTTAGATTCTACTATTGTTATTGTTTAAAGCTTGTGATAATTCTCAATATAACTGGCTTGATCTCAATAGGTAATGGAGGCAGCCCAAGCTTCAGCTGGATTGTCAGGTAGTTACGGTGGCTATGCATTGCAGAGTATTAATCACATTGCACATCTCTCAGGGGCTCTTATTGGTGTGTTTCTAGTATGGCTTCTCAGCAGAGTTCCATCTGAGCCTCGAGATCAAGAGGCAATGAATTTACATGGAAAAAGGGACAAACTTCCATAACCAATATAAACTTTATATATGCAACGAATGTGTTTGTATAGGGGAATTGAATTGCATATTTTCCTGGCTTGGATTTATTGTTGGTCATGTGAATTGTATAAGTCAGAATTGTAAAATTTTCTCATAGTTACAAGTTATTTACGATTGAAGCATATAGCAATATGAACAAACAAGAGAATGTTGATATTAAGTAGCCGAGAAAGCTGGGAAGGGCTTTATGTGTGTTGACAATTCTTGCTACAAGATAGTTGTTGTTATAGATTTGAATTCCTGTATTCAGAAAACCTGGATCTTTAATGTTTGAAATTAACTAAAAGCGGATAACACAGGATTTCTACCATCACACTTTCAACTTTCAAGAGGAGAAGTTGGCTTCTCTCTGGCACCAAAAAGGACAGATAGAATAAAGAAGTATGAATTCTACTACTGATAACGTGCAAATACATGGAAACCATATTTACTCACATAAAAGAAAATAAAAGTTCATGAAATGAGGAAGTCTCCTGCTATCTACAGCATTTGGTTGCGATTTTTGTTTTTTTGTTTTTTTTTTTTCACTTCAGGAGGAGAATATGGATGAAGTGCAAAAAAAAGAAACAAAAAATGTGTCTTCCCATCAATTCAAGAACACTGTACATGAATGCGCAAGCTGACCACACATACCAAACTGCCCATGGTACTGTCTTCGGCAAATAATTGGCAACCTTGCCACGGATTTGCAAGTATGAGAAAGGTACATGGATGTTGTAGCAAGCCACGAGCACTCGGATGAAAGATCAGAGTCTTTAAACATCCGACCTTTTCTTAGAGGTGAAGATGTTCCTTTTTGATCACTGGTCACTAAATTAGGTATTTGCAAAAGATTAGGATATGGGGCATTTGTAGCTTGTTTGTGATACAATTTCTCTAAGCTTTCAACTGGTATTTCTTCCTCTGTAAACATTGGGTCGACCCTTTCCTTATTTTTTATTGTGCTTAGTACTCTATTAGCCTCTTTTGTCAAACCAGTGGAACGCCAAGCTTCTGCAAGAAGCAAAATGGTGGATTTCTCAGGCTGGACCTCAAATGCTTTCATGATTTGGAGAATTTCTTCAGCTTTCCATGGTTGCTTGGCTTCACAGTATCCCCACATTAGGGTTTCAAATGTCTTCAAATTTGGAGAAACCCCATGTTCACACATTTGGTCAAAGACCTTGATGGCAGAATCCATTCTGCCAGAGCTACACCATCCACTGATGACGGTTGTGAAAATTACAACATTTGGGCGAAATCCTGATTCAATCATTGTTGTCAGAAGCTCTTCAGCTTTCTCTGGTTCTTGAGCACGCACATAACCTTTAGCAAGAATGCTGTATGCATGTGCGTCAGGTTTTACACCAGCCTTTAACATGTCATCAAAGATTTCCCGACACTTTTCCATGAACCCAGCAGTGCTCCATGCATTCATGATGGTGCTAAATGTTATGACATCTGGTTTTACCTCGAGTTCTTCCATCAATGCCAGAACCTGCATATTATGTTTTGGATGCACAAAAACACAATATTCCTAGGTAAGTGGACAAGTATCAAAACAGAATACTTTTTGACAGCAGACACAAGCGATATTCAAATGCCAAAACTCACCTTGTCAACCCCATCTCGATCCATAATATCTACAAATGCTTTGATTAGTGAGTTAAAAACAACTAGATTAGGATGCACCCCATGTTGCTTCATCCTATACAAGAACCTTAGTGCTTTCTTTAGTCTACCTTCTTTACAATATCCAGAAACAATGATGCCACAGGTCCGCTCATTGGGCTGCACACCATTGTTCAGCATTTCTTCAATCATTTCATCAGCTTGATTTGTTTCTCCATTCTGAGCATAAGCTGTTGCTATCGTGTTATAAGTAACAGCATCAGGTTGCATCCCAGAAGCTACCATCCTATGCACCACATTCCATGCCTCCATAATGTTCTTCTTTTTACACCATGCTCTAACAAGAACATTATAAGTCCTGAGATTGGGTTTCACATTTTCCTCTCTGGACATTAGGTCCAGCACTTTTAGGGATTCTTCAGGCTTACCAGCAATTCCATACCCTTTGATCAATGTATTATAAGTGCTAGTAGTGGGTTTCTGCCCACTCTCCTTCATCTTCCACAATGTTTCCATGGCTTCCTCTATGTTCCCAGACTCAGAGAAGGCATTTATCACAGCATTAAAAAATATGGAATCGGGTTTCATTCCATTCTCTTCTACACGGGAGATAATCGAATGAATGGACTTGAAACGCTTCTGCATTGTCAAGGCAGCCAAGAGGGTTGTGAAAGTTATTAGAGATGGTTTGTGTCCCCCCTCAATCAAACTGTCAAAAATGGACTGAGCTTCCTGGGGTTCTCCTCTTTCTATAAGAATGTTCATCAGTTTAGTCCTTGAGCGTACAATTCGGCAACTATCTTTTGTCAAGCAGGAAATGCAGTGAGGTTGACTTTGAGACTTTGAATTTGAATATAGCTGATTCTTCTCACCAGGATTATGCTCCTGTGAAGTTATAAAAACCGAAAAAAATAAATGATTGATCTTCACAGTTAATATTAATGAAAGAAAAACAAACAGATGCAAATCGCCATTGCAAAATATGATTAATCCTCATAGCCTAAAAACGTTACATACACATTATATCTCAAGCTACAAAACAATCAAATTGATAACTTAAACTCAACCAGGCTAATCAAAGTCCAAAAGAAAGCAGCAAAAAGCTTCAGCCCACATGATTAAGACAGTTAATTGATCAAAATCTGATACACACCTTAATTGGTGGCGTTTGAAATTTGTCATTGGTTCGTGAAAGAGCCTTCCTTTCAACAGATTCTCCCATATGGTCGTCTAAACTTATGCTTCTCAGCTTGAAAGTCGTGAATAATCTGATATTTAAGCAGAGTGCAAGCAAAGGCGAGAACTTGAAACTTTATCCACCATCACATTCCTAGAGAAAAGACACCCATACTCAAGCCAGTTCATAAAATCAAATAAACAGAAGCCAAACAATTTGAAAACCTAATAAAAACCTCCATTTTGGGTATTTTGACAGGGCATTGCTTCACCAATTACTGAAGCAAACAAATTATATTCCAAAATATTAATCAGACAAATCAACCAAAGAGCAAAACAAGAGCTCTTAAACATTAAATAGTTAATATCCTTCGTTTCAGATAAGGAAACAAGCATCAAAATAAAATTATATAAGAAATCAGGCTGCTGGGCACCAAGTGGCACTGATCATTTAAGAAATACTGAACAAGAACTTGAAATAAAAGATTAGCTGAAGCCATGAAGAAGGATTTTAAAACTATGTTAGTAACAGTGTTGTACCTCTCGGCTACAGTGAATGTGATTGCAAACGAGAGAGTGGGAGATGCGTAAAGAAATAGTACAGGCATATAGCGCATGGAATCCCGTAATATCCAATAAAAAAATATTATCCACAAATATTGCTAAATGCTAACACAAGAAAGACAAAGAAAAGCAGATAAGAAAGCCACAAAGTGAGGCTGAAAATTGTACTAAATTTTGCTGATTTGCTCCCTGTTTATTTATTTATTATTATCATTTTTAAATATAAGCACCCCTGATTTATGAGCTAATTACTCATGAACCCTAGAAGTTCTGACTTTTTTCATAATGTTTAATTTTATTATTGTTGTTGTAAAGTTCTGATTTTTTTGTTTTGTTTTTTTTTTTTTTTTTCCATGCAGGACATTATAATTTGTGACCCCACTAAATTAAGTTATTTTTTCTAATCATCAAAGTTAACTAATCCCCTAGAACCTTAGAATTATTGAACGGATAATAGTGTAGTGATTATCTTTATTAAGGGTCGTGGCAACTCGAACTTGAAAGACCATATTAGATCATTTTCTTCCTCTTTCATCATAAAAAAGACTCAAACTTGAAAGATCATGTTAAATTCTCCTTTACTGTTTTACTATAGATAATTCTCAAATGAGAGCAGCCTTATCCAGAAACCCGTATGTTTGTCTCGACACAAGAGAAAATGTTGGGAAGAATTTGAATTGCATTCAGAAGCTCATATTGGAAAAAATTATTTGCCAAATTAATATGCTTTATAGCTTATACATAAAACCAATGTACAAATTAATAAAGCAAATGAAAATCAAGTTAGAATTTTCACTCAAGAAACAATAATCTACATCAATTAGTGATCAAAAGTTTTGATACATCGGATCTCTATCTTAGCTTCTTTTATATATCAGTTTGTCTGCTGGAATAGCCACTGGAGCCAGACGGGTTTAGACCATACTCACTAGTGCTTTCACTGTATCCATTGATGCCACATTCCTTCCGCAAACTCATGTTGAATTTCTTCATTTCCTCCCTATATTGGTGGGAGTCATAGTTTGAACTTCCTGAACAACTGTAAATTGTGCTGTCTCGTAGCCTGATCGCTTCGTCAATTTTTGTGAAAGAAACATCTCCTTCCAAAGCGCGAATTACCTGCTTGTTTGCAAGTTTTGTAACTTTTTGTTAAGGAGAAAGGGATAAATGCGAACAAAACTTATTAGAAGAGGTGACTTGAACAAAGGTTAGTGGAGTTTGGAGTTCTAGGATTGCCCCAACAATTATTATTTTGAGAGAAGAAAAGTTATTGAGTTAGTTACCTGGCTCATTCTAGGTCGAAGCCATGCCGAATGGCGCACACAAGCTGCAGCACATGCAACCATGTTTTCCATCTCATTGTATTTGTATTTCTTTTCCAATTTTGGATCAACAAGAGCATCAAAATTGCCATCCTCTAGAGCTTTATTTAGCAGTGGCCTCGCCTGTAATGGCAATATTGTATCAGTTAAAACAGTCTTAAGTAATGCAACTAAGATAATTCGTGTTTAAAGATAATGGTGCGTACTAGGATGTCTAGCCAGAGGGGGGAAAGGGTCTCAGGTTTCACATAAAACAAAATAATTAGTTGCAAGAGGGATTGAATGGCAATGGTGCAAAGAAACACCCAACTTACCCAATCAACCAAGCTTTCATTCAAATAGGGATTTATTGTAGTGATAGGTGGGCGTCCAGTTATAAGCTCTAGAAGCACGACCCCATAGGAATATACATCTGATTTATCTGTTAGTTTACCGCTTGATGCATACTCTGGAGCCAAGTATCTGTACAAAGTGAGCAAGTATGTTGAGAAAGAAATGAAATATATAATCATGTCTGTCGACAGATATGAGAACACATGAGCATGAATTGTGATCAGCAAAGTGATGTACAAGATTTTATATCAGATGGATTGATTGCTAAAAGTAATTCAAGATATCCGGTAGAAATTAGACTTATATATTTGGTCTAGCAAGTCAAAACCAAATGGATTCCAATTCCAAATGCAGTTGGACATTCCAGCAGGATGACCAAGCTAACACAGCAACATACAGTACCTCGATGTCCATTAAGAAGTGAAAAATCATAAGGAAATTTCCTTGAGGAGAAGAGAGGTAAGGAAGTCAACTTACCCAAAAGTTCCTATCACTCGTGTGGAGACATGAGTATTGGTATCAGATAACATTTTGGCAAGTCCGAAGTCAGAAACCTAATTATAAAACTTAAATTCATTAGCAATTACATATATCTTGATGGTCAAGGAGACGTATCAATATCGATCAAGTTTGAAATATTGAAGATAGGCCTACAAATTTCAACTACAGGAAACAAATATTACAAACAAGATTCCAGGATCTTCCTTTTCTTTCCTAGGTAGATGAAAGCAACTTGAAATTCTCAATAGATAAGCCCATATAATCAAATATACAGATAGTAAAATACGTACCCACAAATTGAATTCATATCAAAATTTGAAATTTAGACTGGAATCATAAAGCTTAGAAATAAATTGTAAGACTCCTACCTTTGCTTCGAATCTAGAATCAAGAAGAATATTTGATGCCTTGATATCACGATGAATGATTGTAGGATTACCTGCAGTCAGACACTTTTTAAATTAGATCTAGAAAATTCTCATGCAGAAACTCAGAGGCAGAAGGTATGCTAAGTAGCTCTTTATACAAGAAAGAGATTATAAGAGTGGTCTTTTATGCAGTAGATTTTTGCCGTTGCCTAGCAATGCAATATCCACAAATTAGACAAGGAAAGTGGATTCAAGCAGTGAAATGCCGGTAGATGAACATAATATTAGATATAAAATTATCAATTGTAACTTACAGTCCTCATGAAGATAAGCCAATCCTTTTGCAGACCCTATGGCAATTCTGAGTCTTGTTTCCCAATCCATAATTGGCTGTCCTGTTCCTGCATTACATTTGATGATTCATTCCATATGCTCATATCCTAAGCATAATTTTCACTATCTAGGACAGATCTTCAGTGCATAAATTCTCGCCTAGGAATTACTTTCAATAATCCTCTTTACATTAATATACCAGAGCAGAGGAATCATCTTCCATATTTTGACCTCGGGAAATATACTTTTGAGTGTGCGGTACAATAACTGTAACAAAAAAGAAAAGTAGAAATAGGAACCTCAAACAGAAGGCTAACCATGTAAGTGAAATTCCAATGTGTTGTTGGGGACAAACTCATAAACAAGCAATCTCTCAGCTCCGGTAATGCAGTATCCAACTAATGAAACAAGATGTTTGTGATGGATTCTGCTAATTGTCTCAACCTCAGCTTGAAATTCTTGCTCCCCCTGATGGCTTCCACTCTTTAGCTGCTTAACTGCAACTTCTTTCCCACTACGAAGAACACCTCTGTGAACGTATCCGAAACCACCTTCTCCAAGAAGGTTGGCCTCAGAGAAGCCATTGGTAGCCACCACCAACTCATCATATGTGAAACTGCCTCTTGCAAAACTTAGGGCAGCACCAGAGGCTTGAGGTGTATTCAGATCCACAGACCCTGAGCCACTGGAACCATAACTTCCTACCGAAGGCAGTGGGGCTAAGTGCTTTGGTAGCACCGTGATGACGTGGTCTCCTGGTGGTGGAACATTTTCCTGTGAAGGTTTGGATAGAAAAACACCTTCTGCAACTCCAACAAAAACCAGAAATTGTATCAGCACGATGGGTTTAATTTTCTCTAAGCAAACATGAGAATTTACGATTGGATTTTATTGATGTAAAAGAAAGCTAGATCAATTCAAATTGACCTCATTACATGGTCCTACAAATGCCAATTATATCACAAGTTCACAACACAAAATAACATTAAATTGTACGATCAAATCCAATCAATAGAAAGGAAAAATTGCAGAATAAAAGAAGATTATCAAACAATAAACATGCTTGAGTATGATATGAATTCATTCGTTACCTTTTGGTGCCAAGTTCGACGGTTTAGAATAATCTTGCACAGGCCTACGCTCCTTCCTCCTCTTATCTTCATAGCAAAAACAAAAAAGGCCAAGCACAAGTAGTAAAATGATTCCACCGCCCACACATGCAAGTAAAATCCCTATTGACACATGAAAATGTTGTGTGTTGGTTGAACTTTGAGTTACTAAAGGCAATGGCGGTGGTGGAGATGCACCAAAGAATGGAGTTTTGGGAATGGTGATCAAAGAAGAAGGGAGAGGTGATGGAGACACTAATGTAGGTGGTGAGTCAGTAGGCCAAGGAGGCGGCGGCAAAATAGTTGAAGATGGCGTTGCCTGAGGAGGTGGAGAAGTTTCCAGAGGTAGCGGAGAAACTGTTGGTGGTGTTTGTGAAATTGCAGGAAGCAATGGAGATTGTAGAGATGGAGATGGTGGAGATGGTGGAGGAGAAGTTGATGGGACTAATGGTGTTATTGGAAGTTGTGGAGGAGTTAGAGGCTTTGGTGGTGCTGCTGGTGCTGCTGGTGGAGACTCGAGTGTAGGTGATGGAGAAATGATCACGTGAGGAGCAGGTGGTATTGCATTGTGTAGAGGTGGAGGAGCTTCAACCGGAAGAGGTGGAGATGGAGAGGTTACAGGTGGTGCTGACGTGGCAGTGGGCGGTGGAGAAGAAACCTGAGGCGGAGGGACTGGTGGTGGTAACAATAATGGAGCTGGAGGCGGAGGGACTGGTGGTGGTAACAATAATGGAGCTGGAGGCGTAGGGACTGGTGGTGTTAACAATAATGGAGTTGGAGGAGACGATGGCAAAGAAATAGGAGCTGGTAGTGGTGTAATAAATGGTGGAGGAGGAGGACTTACATTATTAATTACAGGTGGTGGTGACGGTGGCAACAAAGGCAAAGTGGTGGTCGCCGGAGCTGGTGACCGTGAGGGTGATAAAGACATGTTTAAACTTGTTCTTAATCTTGGATTTTAAGAATTGACATTAAATTGAGAGTAAAAAAGGACATAGAAAGCACATGCAAAAGCAAAACACCAGTTCATAACTGCCCATATTCATTGTGGAATTCATCGCTGTTGCTGAAGGTTTTTGTCGTGGAAACTTTTGTAGCCATATGAATAAAGCGAATGTTGCAGTTGAATTTCGGTAATATTATATTACTAACCATATAATAAACAAACAAATGTTTGTATGACATTGAGTCTTGAGTTAATTCTTTTCCCGTGAACAAAACTTTCTCAACTACCAAACAACACTCTTTTCTTACTGGTTACTTTCCATTACAAACTGTAAACTTCCAACACAAACAAAACAAAATAAGCGAGATTCACGGACCATCGAGCCCCTTGTCATCTTCTGAGTAGTAGTGGGTCCGACCATGAGAGTGGGAATTAGAGAAATCTTTGGTTTGTTTGTCAGTCTGGCAATACTCAGTAGTCAATACTAGTCATAGAGGGTGGGTTCGCTCCCATTCACAATCAAAGTAGAGTTTAGTTAAAAGCACATGGCGATGGTCGAGAAATGAAACGACTGTTGATGCACTTTTATCAAAGTCAACAAGTGCTGATTAAATAGTGGTGTGTGGTTTGCATCATATGATGATCTAAAGGTCAAGACACGATACCAGTTTTCTGCCTTACTGATTACAGGCAGTTGGATTCTTAGCAGTTGTTACACTATGGACTTCCTTTTCTTTTTTTCTTCAACTTTGAATTGATAAGAATCTTACCTGACGGACTTCAACACTGTAACATATTGATTTCTGAATATGATAGAAATCAATATGTTACAGTAGTGCCCATGGAACGTAGTTGTTTGTGCCGGTGAGTTTGAGTGGTGCTTGGGCAGAGATATTGATGGTATTTAACATGTTGTTGGGGTCATTGGTGTTTGTGGCCATTTTGGTAGTGTCCGGAGAGGTGACAGTAACAACAATAAAAATAATAATAATAATGGGCTTTAAAGAATTGATGAGGCTTGCTGTTGACAATGATAGATATACAACCTTGAAAGAACAAAAATAGGGATGAAGAAACAATGAAGCTAAAAAGCGAAGATCATTGAACACACTAACGAGAACGACAAAAAAAAAAAAAATAATATCAGAAAAACAAGCAGACTTTATGAGGATCAAGAAGTAAAAAAGGAGAGAAAAGATTATTGAGAGGGTTGACGAGGCTTGCTGTGGACAAGTGGGGTCGGGTTGAAGTTGCTGTATACAAGTGCTAATTTTTGCTGGTGTGTTTGCTGGTTATGACAAGTTGAAACTGGAAAATGAATAAAAAAATTGGCAGAACTGAGCAGCGAGAAAGAATGTTCTAACACCATCTAATAGAAGCAAGAATGCGCAGGAAGAAGGAATTTGACTGCTTGTATTTTTATTCAACATCACAGGTTTATATACAAGGGTAAAAGATAAGAGATCAGAGATTCAAAAACCAAATACAAATTCGAAAGAAGATGAAATACAAATTTAAAACAAAGATCATTGACTACTTCTCTTGACTTGAGATGAATCCAAGGCAATTTTATTTTCCCCTTCAGAATGTGTATAAATTAAATATACAAACCTGGTTTTGTTAGCGAAGAAACACATTTCAATAATCTTCCACCTTTTCTTGTGTATAATAAGCTTTATATATAAAGAAGCTTCTGCTACTAGCAGATGGCAAGATTATCTTCTATCTTCCTGAAGGGTTCCCATGCACCTTGTGCTATCAAAACATATCCTTATTCGCTTTAAATATACACAATCACTTACCACAAAACAATCTCAATCTTTTCAAAGTTTCATTCCAATAGAAGCTTTGATATACATTTGGCCAATGTTGTGATATTAAGATAACAAGGACTACTGAGATTAGAGCAAACTTGGTTACAGTTACACTCCATTCAAGATAACTATAAAATTCCAGCCAATTTCATATCCTTTATCACCAAATCTACTTTCTCAGATAAGCCAGCTCTCCGATATCCAGCAATCAGAAAATCATAATTTGATCTTGTGAGTTTGTAAGAACTCTTAATATGGTCCAAAAACAGCTCTAGCCTATCGTATTCTTCACACCTGAAGTATGAACAGATCACCTTCTCAACATCGTCTGGACATTTAAATGATAACCCTTGTTTCCCCATCCTCCCCACAGAATATTCTACATCATCCAGTCTGTCTGACAAGGCATAAATCCTTATAATCCCACAATGCACCTGTAACAAAACTTGAGGATCTTGATTGTACTTTATTAAAGTTGCAAGTAGCTCCTCCATTTCATCCACTTTCCCAGGTTCACAATAAAATTTCACAAGCTTTTCAGCCATATTCTCATTAATTTTCCACCCTGCATCCAACAAAAACTCCATGAACTCTTTAACTTGACCTAAACTTCCACGCTTGCAAAGCCCTTCAAGAACATACTCCAATATGGTTATGCTAGGCATAACTCCAATCGACATCATTTCCTCATAATATTTATCAGCACCATCAAAATCCTTCGATTTAACACAACCAGAAATGAGAGATTCATAAGTTTGAACATTAGCCGGAAACCCAGCAGCCTTTTTAGCAGAGTACCATGTGTGCATTGCATCAACATTTCCCAAGCTTGAAAACCCCGCTATGAAAAAATCATAAGTCTCGGAATTGGGTTTATAGTCCTCTGAGCTCATCATTGTTTCAAATAAGCTAATGGATGTCACTACATCACCTGAGCACAAGCAAGTATATATAAGGGAATTGAAAACTGAAGAATTGGGCTTAATTCCACGACGCTCCATCGAACTAAACACAAGCATTGCCAGTGGTATATTTCGAATCTTTCCACAAAGAGATATTAAATCAGAGTAATCACGAGATGTCTTATTCTCCTTCAGCATTTTATCTAATCTCCATTCCAAAACCTGAGCAATTAAATTGGAAAAATATGAGTAGATAGATATGGCACTTATGAAAAATCACTTACCCTAGAAAGTAAAAAGAGAAAAAAATGAGAATTCAAATTAACGCAAAAAAGGAAATCGTCAATTTAAACCATAATACAATCTCTATCTCTGCAAACAAGTTGTAAAATTCTCTCTTTTGTTAATATTTGTAATTAAAATGGAGTTAAAAACAGAAAGAAATAAGCTGACAATTAATTACTAATTTGAGTCTCTCCTAAGATATCACAAAAGGAGAAAAAACCAAAAAAAAAAAAGGGTGTAGGAAAGTTAAAAATACTGATTGAGCTTTCTGAGGAGAGGAAGTGAGGAGAATATCCCAGGAGAAGGAGGAATTGTTGAGGAGAAGAGGGTCTTCTGAATCAAGTGTAGTTTTGATTTGTGAGTTCGGTATTTGAAGCAATTTGGAGAGCAGAGGATTGGAAATCGCTACTTTATTACAGAAAAAACGTAGTTGAAATTTACGAGGAAACGAACAGCAGCAAGTACTAGCCGCTGAGAAAACCCTGCAAACTAATGCCATCTCTTTTCTCTTTTCATGAGTGCTGTATTGCTGTCGTAATGTTGAAAGATTTTCTTTTGCCACAAACAGCCGCTTTTTGTTTGGGTTTGCATGATTTCCAAAATATTTAATAATTATTAATTTTAAAATTCCATAACCTGCCTGGGAAGAATTTATTGACTTTGTAAAATCAAAGAATTTAGATCAATTTACTTGGACATTTTAAAACAAGCTTTGATGACCAAAAAGATCAGATCACTACACAGTTCCTGGTACAAGATTTTGAGACTTCACATTTTCATCCAAAAAATTTGAATTTGTTATGGTACATAAACTCTACCAGAAGATTTCGTTAAAGAAGAAAAAAATTCGTAAAATCCTAACTTCACAAACGGAACATCGAATTCAGTATTCTTGCAATCTTACAGTCACCGTCGGCAGTTGGAAAAAACTCCGCATGGAGGATAAAAGAACAAGTAAAGAATAGCAACCCTCAACTTAAATCACATTATACACTAATTCCTGCTCCCCAAAAAAGGGTTCAACCTTTTCTTCTAATTCACCTTTCCCTTTTTTTCTTTTTTTTTGTGCCCTTTCTTGTGTAAAGGGAATTTCATTAAAGATAACGGAAGGAAACCATATTATGCTCAGCCTTGAAGTGACAACATAGAAGGCTTATGATACAGTAAACTTTGACAAGGCTGACTGGAAGATATCTGAGAAGGCCTGCGATGTACTTTGATCGTCAGCCTTAATCTTTATTTGTGCTTTAGCTGATGATGTGTTGATTACACACTCCACAAGATAATTAGATGATTCTTCTGCTTTTTGTGCAAAGAAGAAGAACTTGAAGTTAGGTGATTGGCCACCTGAAGCAATGCAGTGGATGGAATGGCCTTGCATGTGCTTGAGGAGAGCTTGAGGTGTTGTCAATGCTGCAACTCCTTGAGGGCTCATGGAAAATTCCTGGAACGGGTACAGAAATCTCATCTATCAGAAATGTGATTAGATAAAAATGCTCGCAAATATGAAGCACATAAGCACAAGTTGTCATAGCACAGTGAAAACAACAGGAAATTGAGGAGAAGCAATATTGTGTTCACGTCTTACTGTGCCCAGATGATATACGTATGTCCTATGCTTACTTTTATACAGGCTTTCTAAACAAAAGAACGATTACCAGCAAGAAGCAGAGTAACGGGGTCCTACTATACAATATGAAGTTTAACATATTTAAGGATTTTGCCTTTGAACGGGAAGGATAGCTACAGTCTGCCACTCAAAGAGTGAGAACAGGTTTAAATGAATTTATCATTTCTTCCTGTAAATGACTATGGCTCTTAAAAAGGATGTGGGGCCAAACTGAGCATCATTCGGAGGTGACAAAAATGAGTCAAGGTTTTGCAATGGTATCAAAGGCTAAATTAAACTGAGTGGAAGAGGGCTGCCACCATACAAAAATTGCAAGGATATAAAAAGTTGAGAGGCATAATCAATAAAAAGATCTAAACAAAAATAAAATAAACTGCAAGGGCATATTCTCCAAGTAAACCTGTGAAAAGGAAATCCCCAATTGGCGCCATTTTTGCTGGAAAGTGCCTGGATCTAGAACAGCTTTGGGATTAAGCTTCAATGGAGGAGGTAAAGGAGCAGGAGCAGGAGAAGGTGCAGCTGCTGGGGTTGCTGGCAGACCTAGACCAAGTAGATCATCAATAGCTAAGCTAGATGATGAAGCATTGCCTGCAGATGTGGGGTTTGAAATTGCCAATTCTGATAGTGAGTTTGCAGCAGAGATTGAAGCAGATGAACTGTCATACAAAGGAGCACTATAGGCAGAACCATTGTGAGTGGGACCCCTACTTTCTTCCTTCTCTGAAGTACTTAAAAGCAGATCCTTGTCATTTGCCTCAACTCTGTTGGCTGGAACAACGTTATCTGCAGATTCTGCCCCAATAGATACATTTCCAAGCTCATCTGAAAACTCAAATGGACCACGATGTTCCTTGTCTGTGAACATGTAAGAAGGCTGCAAGTATTTGTCAGTATCAGTAAATATGAATCCCACCACCAAAGAATTTGATCTATTCTAGACAGGCCAAATACATCCATCATCAAATATATGGTTACTAAACCACCCATTTCAGAGAGGAAAATTCATGAAACCACTTAAAAGATAACTCATGCTCTCACAATAATCTTTTAAGTTATATATCTCAATCCAAAATCATCAATGAGATAAATAATTGTAGTTACCTTCTGATACACAACAGATAAACTGTTAAATTCATCAAATATCCGATCTTTGATTTCACTGCTCTGAGTATCAGCAAAGACTGAAACAGCTTGCTTTGGAGGGTTCACAACATTTTCTGCTACAGATACATTGTATTGCAAGAGCCTATAGTAGAATAAGGCTCTATCATGAACATCCTGCAGTCCACAAACATTCTCGCACAAATTATTACAACAACTTGTGCAGTTTATCTACACCGAGTCAGAGAAAAGGACACAAAATTACACATTGTGAAATCCCACCTGGTGAAAATCAGCCAGCCCGGCAGCCAATGCAGCTCCCAAGGCATTCTGAGTCTCAGGTGGTCTCTTGAAGAAACATTTCATAACTGCAGTAAGAAGTTGTAAACGAACCTGTCCAAACACAGTATATATTAACCAATACTGCTGATTCTACATTAATTTAATTAAGAACCAAAATTAAACTCCTTCCTAAAATAAAATAATTGATTCAAGCAGATCAGTGGAATTTGATACAAGAGGCCACAATATGAAAGACAGGAGAATGTTTCCAAGTCACCAAATGTGAGAGACAGGCTATTCAAACTGCCCTTTGAAATGATAGGTGCAATAAAAAGAAGCAGGTGCAGCAGCGCCTACAGATGCAAGACCAATAACCAAATGAATGAAATGTAAACTCTTTAACAAAAAATGTATCCAAGATCATGCATATATGCTAAACTTCTAAATGTTATCAAGTTTGTTTCAAACATATATGTACCTTCTTAATTACTAAAACATATAGAAGACTTAAATATACGAGTATGACAAACAGAAACGACTTTGAGATTCCTGGGAACAAAAGTAAATAGTTTTGGCAACACCTGAAAATGAAATGTCATTACTGAAAAATAATTTATTCAGCAGGATGAGCAAAATCATGGGTTTGGAATGCAAGAAAGAACATCGCTCAGCATGTAGACTTACCTATAACCAGGATATCAAATTGCCCTATTCTACTTTTGTATGAGCTAATTTTCATGATAAAACCATAACCCCCTGAAGAAGAGATCAGAGAACCTCAGATTTACCAACCAGATAAATGTACATAAAGGTGAAACAATCAACTAACCAAGGGAATCGCATGATGACACTATTACAAAAGAGGTAGGTACTTACCTCAGCAGAATGCTCTTCATCCCAATTTTCAATTAAACTTTCTAAAATATAAGGAGCATCATGCATATCCTGAGAATATTCTCCCAACATCCATATAAGAGCTGCCTTGGCCTTTGGTTCCTGAACATNTGGAACAACGTTATCTGCAGATTCTGCCCCAATAGATACATTTCCAAGCTCATCTGAAAACTCAAATGGACCACGATGTTCCTTGTCTGTGAACATGTAAGAAGGCTGCAAGTATTTGTCAGTATCAGTAAATATGAATCCCACCACCAAAGAATTTGATCTATTCTAGACAGGCCAAATACATCCATCATCAAATATATGGATACTAAACCACCCATTTCAGAGAGGAAAATTCATGAAACCACTTAAAAGATAACTCATGCTCTCACAATAATCTTTTAAGTTATATATCTCAATCCAAAATCATCAATGAGATAAATAATTGTAGTTACCTTCTGATACACAACAGATAAACTGTTAAATTCATCAAATATCCGATCTTTGATTTCACTGCTCTGAGTATCAGCAAAGACTGAAACAGCTTGCTTTGGAGGGTTCACAACATTTTCTGCTACAGATACATTGTATTGCAAGAGCCTATAGTAGAATAAGGCTCTATCATGAACATCCTGCAGTCCACAAACATTCTCGCACAAATTATTACAACAACTTGTGCAGTTTATCTACACCGAGTCAGAGAAAAGGACACAAAATTACACATTGTGAAATCCCACCTGGTGAAAATCAGCCAGCCCGGCAGCCAATGCAGCTCCCAAGGCATTCTGAGTCTCAGGTGGTCTCTTGAAGAAACATTTCATAACTGCAGTAAGAAGTTGTAAACGAACCTGTCCAAACACAGTATATATTAACCAATACCGCTGATTCTACATTAATTTAATTAAGAACCAAAATTAAACTCCGTCCTAAAATAACATAATTGATTCAAGCAGATCAGTGGAATTTGATACAAGAGGCCACAATGTGAAAGACAGGAGAATGTTTCCAAGTCACCAAATGTGAGAGATAGGCTATTCAAACTGCCCTTTGAAATGATAGGTGCAATAAAAAGAAGCAGGTGCAGCAGCGCCTACAGATGCAAGACCAATAACCAAATGAATGAAATGTAAACTCTTTAACAAAAAATGTATCCAAGATCATGCATATATGCTAAACTTCTAAATGTTATCAAGTTTGTTTCAAACATATATGTACCTTCTTAATTACTAAAACATATAGAAGACTTAAATATACGAGTATGACAAACAGAAACGACTTTGAGATTCCTGGGAACAAAAGTAAATAGTTTTGGCAACACCTGAAAATGAAATGTCATTACTGAAAAATAATTTATTCAGCAGGATGAGCAAAATAATGGGTTTGAAATGCAAGAACGAACATCGCTCAGCATGTAGACTTACTATAACCAGGATATCAAATTGCCCTATTTTACTTTTGTATGAGCTAATTTTCATGATAAAACCATAACCCCCTGAAGAAGAGACCAGAGAACCTCAGATTTACCAACCAGATAAATGTACATAAAGGTAAAACAATCAACTAACCAAGGGAATTGCATGATGACACTATTACAAAAGAGGTAGGTACTTACCTCAGCAGAATGCTCTTCATCCCAATTTTCAATTAAACTTTCTAAAATATAAGGAGCATCATGCATATCCTGAGAATATTCTCCCAACATCCATATAAGAGCTGCCTTGGCCTTTGGTTCCTGAACATTTTGAGTGCTAATACTCCCAACAACTGCAATGCAATCATGACTCCACTGTGGGTACTTCCTAAGTAAATCTTTTACAAGGACCTGCAGGGAATAACTCCAAACTTGAATCAATCTGGTGGACACTAGATAAGTCAATGCTAATTCTATATGTAGAAAAACATGACCATACACTTGGATGTACAGATTGATCCCTAGGCACAAATATAAATATTTACCAGAGCTTCAGCAGTCACGTAGTCCTTTTCCATCTCTAGAAACTGAAGAAGCCTATCAACAATTGCATTCACATCATACTGTTGCAGGGCTATTTTCCCCACAGCCCGGATTGACTCTCTTGCAATGGTGATATCAACATTTGCAGCATATTCACATAATTCCGTAACTGAAATTGTCACAAGAAAAGGCTAATATCATATGCAAAAGAAAATAATGCAATTTTTCTGAGGGGAAGAAAGATTAAAAATGAACTGTTTGCTTACCAATTTCGTATGTGTTGCTCTCATTTGCCACTGCAGTCAACATTTCAAGCTTCAACTTTTTTACATAAGATGGTTCATTGTACTGGCAGTAGAAGTGTTTGTAGTCTGAGGCAAAAATAAATGGTGCACGCATCACCAAAAGGTGCAGGTGACTTAAAACTGCATAAGACTGCTCAGGACTTCCTGAACTTACTAAGGTTAGCAAAGGAGCTTTGATCCTTTCATATACCTGAACATGAAATACTTAGAGAAGTTAAATGCTAGCCACTTAAATATATTTGGGAGTGATTCAAAATGACTAAATCAATGGAAAATAACACATAGCAGGTATTGTGGAAAGTTAATTTCAAGCCTCGCATTAGACTCAAAATCATATAATAAATTATAAACTAGATAACAAATTTGTCATGCTAATGGCTAAATTGAGGAAGGAAATCCAGTTTAAAAAAAAAAAAAAAAAACTTTTTTTAATGTTTCTAAAGAAACTTTGAAAGTTTTGGAAGTTCAAAACAGCTATATGAAAGTGAACAAACAATGTACCAAAGAAGGACAAACTTGAGAAAACAAGGAAAAGATAAATATAGTGTATAAAAAAAACCCAAAACTAACAAAAAATTGACCTAAGCTCCCAATTATAAAAAATGGATCTTTCAAGAAGATCCATTAGCTACCATCTTAGAATCTGAACCAATGTTATGAAGGCCATATTTGCCCTTCATAACCGCATACCAAAAAGAGATTTTTTTTTTTCTAAGGAAATCTCTAAAGCCATTTACCTAAAAATGCTTGATTTGTTTTTTCAACATTACCAATCCCAAGCCTCCTCTATCACGAGATATAGTAACCATCCCCCATTTAATTAGATGACAACTGTTGTTCTGGCCAAAAGCTTCCCACAAGAAATCCACATCATTGTTTTAATCCTATTAGCTATTTTACCAGGAATTGTGGAAATGTACAAGGTAAGTTAGATAAGACTGAATGGATTAATGTATGTTTACCTTACAAGAAAGAAAAGCTTTTTCGCAACTTCTTAACCATTCTCAACCTTTCCACCAATGGATCCCAAAATCCCAAGCATCTAGGATTGCCAACCAAATGAAGACCAAGATACTTTAAAGGCTAGCTTCCTACATTAAACCCAAATTTTCTAGCTAGAGCACTCACTTATTATTCTTGAGTGTTGATGCAAGCTATAACATGATCAAAAAGCATTTTTCGTGAAAGCTAGCTTCAAATAAGAGAACTGCAAGTACTCTTGGCACTAGCAATTTACGAGTTAACTCATGTAAAGTGCAGGGGCAATAAGGTCATTGACGAAGAAAGCAAACATGCACAAAATGCGTAAAAATAGGTTAACCTCAAAATAGAATTGCAAGACTATTGTATCGTGTCCCTCTGTATGTGTATGTATAACCCAAAGGAAAAATAATAAGAATAATAAAGATCGATAAACAAGGCACCTGCTGATGAACGTCAGTCATGGACAAGGTCAAATGTAGAAACACTTTAACAGTTGCTAAGACAACAGCACCATTTGCATGTTGCAGTCTATCTTCAAGGAGATTCATGATGTCAAATATGTCATTGCTATCTGAGGGTACATATTTAGCAACCAACTCGAGCAAAAGGCATTGAGCCCATTCACTAAATTCCTTGATCCTGCAATAAGAAAAGAAAGCCATCTTATGCCTTATGCCTTATAATAATGATTTTGTGCACATGCATTTTGAGGAAAATTACTTAAATTTCAAACTATCATGGTGGTAAATCAGCGAAGTTTACAATATTGATTATTGTTCAACAGTTCTTCCACAATGCCCACTCAAAATGATTGATAAAGATTGCAATATTGACCTCACATGACACTGAGATTATTAATGATCCCTCTATCATATAATCAGATATGTCAAATTAGCAACAGTTTCATTTTATTCAATCACTATTCAAATTATTTGAGTCCAAGGAGCATCTTCCCAAAGAAAACATAATGATAAAATTTAATGCCCAGACTACAAAACAGACCGATTCAAAAGGTGGTATACAATAGGCTTGCTAAGCAGAGCTTCTCTCTCTCTCGATGCTTCCTCAGATGTGCTTGCCTCCGAGCTCCAAATCTCTTGTAGTGCAGATAAACAGTTTGCAACAACCTGATGAAACAATAAATGGGTATTATAATACTAATAATACTAAACATTTCCCATGCAGCGTACAAGTTGACCTCATGGCATTGCAAGTTGATTTCTTAGCATTGCAACCACTATTTAAAAGGGCGAAGGGAGTAATATCATATTGATAAGAAAACGGCTGTTTTAAAGTACAATATCCTCAGATAGTTTTCTCCAAGATTTTGCTTCTTCTGCCAGCATCCAGTCCAATTTTGTAGGTTTTCTTAATATATTCCTTTTGATGTTTCTATAAATTAAAAAGAAAAATATGAGTGGAGTTATATTGTCACTGAAATTCTGAAATTAAAAAAAAAAAAAAAAAAAGAAGAAGCCCATATTATTTATTTAAGTACTTTCAAGTTTAGTCACATCTCCCACCACCACCATCCTCAACCAAGTTAAAACAGACAACCTTGCAGCTCACACTCACTAGGCACTACTCTTTCAGCCATTGTAGCATTTTGTTTATGAATTTTATTTTATTTTTTTCAACCTCGTAGAAAGAAGAAAATTAAGAGTTTAGGTTTTTTATTTCTTTAATTCTTTAATGTTAACATCAAACAACAACATACATTTGATTCAACCATTATCTGTAAAATGAAATGTATATTGGCGCTACTAAATTGAACCATATCACTAAGCCAAGCATCAGCTTATCACATAAAGAAATCAAATAGCCTCACCTGAGTATCAGGATCATTAAGCATCAAATGCTTTAATGTCAGTGGAAAGTCTGCATCAATACATGTTGAAGCAGATATATGATACAATTTTAGAACCCCCATGACCGCCACCATCCTAACATAACTATTATTGTCCTTCAACCCTGATCCCAGAGGACCCACCAAATACTCCACTAGATTCGTCACTCGCAGTGAACACAAGCTCCTCAATGCAAGCCCGCGAATTATTGGGTCCTCATCCTTGCAATCTCTTTGAAGAAAATTGATGGTCAAAAGTGCAAGATCAGGATTGACCTTTGCATAATTCCCAACATAGAGATAACACATTTTCTTCAAAACAATGTCTGATGTGGCTGAACACATAACCATCTCACCAAAGACGGACGAAACATCAACACCAATCGTCATATAGGAGATCACCTTCTTGAAAAGCTCACGCTTCGAATCATCAACACCCGGAGCGCGGCTTCCAGCAAGCTGCCGGAGCTGTGATTTTAAATCCGAAACTTCACCTTTGCTGTAACATAAGGGTCCAATCAGGAAATAAACCACAACCAAAACGAAATCTAACATAACTATCATTAAACCCTCGACTTGAAACTGACATGCAAGTAACATAAAACTAATTGATCAATTAAGATCATGTCTTCAATTTTTCAATGTTAGGGGTTCAGCTTAGCTGATTCTATAAATGCATAACAATATAAATAACATAAAGTGTGATCAACACTTTGAAGTGATAAACCTTGACTGGTTCTGTAATGTAGTTCAAGTTTCAATTGAGTTGGATATCGCAAAATATCAACTACAAAATCATGAATCTCCACAATTCAATGAATTAAACTCAATTAAGCGAAAGCTAGACAGGTTAATTGAGTCGGAATTACCCTGAAGGTTGAGACGGTGACGCTGACCGTTGGGACTGAGCCGGAGGAGCCATGACTGATCTGGACCGATGAGAGATGCGGCTCCGCTATTGATTTAAGGTAATTTACAGTGAGATCGACCAAGGGTTTACAGAGATCAGCCGATGACGATCAGAGATTGCATGAAGACAAAGTATAGCCCCTGAATCTTGAGAAATGAAATTTCAGATGAATGATAGAATTACGAGAAGTAAAACTTGATGCTTCTCCGTGGTGTCGAGGTGGCTGAATATAATAGGCTGCTTTAGGAGTTTACTTAGAGGTAGGGTGGCCTTACTTGAAATAACCTTTTAATACGTTTTGAATTACTTGGGGCATTATTTATTAATTTTTTGAAATAAGATACGTTTTATGACATAATTAACCCTAAAAAAAAAAAAATTAAAAAAAAAAAAAAAATAATAGACATAAAATTTGCTTCTTAGGAGAATGACATTTTCCCATTCTAAGGTTAGGTGAAAATAAGTTCTCTCACCCGACTCATTGTTAAGATCCGATAATAAGATTTGTTATATGATAAGGGTAAAATTACGAAAAGATTATAATATATTTTTAATCAATCTCTTAACTTTTTAACATTAAAAATGATATTCGAATAGTATATAAAACACATGTTTTCACGTTACAAACTAAAAGTAGCTTGATAGAAAACATCCAATGAATGACATTTTATTCTATAACAAGAAATAATTTCCTTAATCTATCCTCCTTCACTTAACTATTTAAGTTTAAGATTTACGTAATAACAAAGAATCCAAACCACATAAAAAAAAAAAAAATTATGCTAAATCTATAGATTTATCATTTATGGAATTTTACCGTAAGCTAACCAGCCCAAGCCCAAGCCCAAGCCAAAAGCCCCTTCTCTTTAGTGCTCACATAAACAACAAACGTCACGTCGTTTTTCATATAATCTATCTGCATTGTCCGTTTAGTGAAAATTATCAGTCAGCAACCCCTGAACCCCCGGTCGCCACTGCATATCGAAACCAAGGCAACAGCGAGCCTATGGCTGCTCAAAATATCTAAACAATCTAAAGTATACCAAACACATACCACAAAAAAGAACAGAAAGAGATGATTATAGCTCAACTTCCAAGACTTAACATCTCAATCTTCACCAAGCCACCGCTATCTCTCCGCACCCATTTCACTCTTTTTCCAAAACAAAGACTTCTCTTTGCACCCAAATCAACTCTCTCCACCGTAGAACCAATACCCATTTCTCCTGTCTCTGAACCCGAAACCCAACTTTCAATTTCACTAGAAAAGCTTTTTGTTCCACCGGAAACCCAAGTTTGTATTGATGACCCCACTTTGAGTACCAGAATCCTGAAGGGTTCAAATATTGTTTTAAGTAAGTACGCCAGAGATGCTCAAGTGGTTCAAGCCGAGTTCATAAAGAGTAGTGTGAGGACCGAGGACTGTCCTTCTGATGGCTTGCCTGAATTTGCTCTTGTTGGACGCTCAAATGTTGGCAAATCTTCGCTTCTTAATTCACTTGTTAGAAGGAAACGTCTTGCTCTCACCTCCAAGAAACCTGGTAACCAGTTTTAAATTGATTTTAAATTTAAAAAAAAAAAAAAAAAGAATTAAGAGAATTTATGGCAGTTGATTATCTTTTTCAATTTTTTTTTTTTTTTTTTTTTATACTTTGCAGGGAAAACACAGTGCATCAATCATTTTAAGATTAATGATAAATGGTATTTGGTGGATTTACCTGGATATGGGTATGATTTAATCCTTTAGTACTTTATGTGCATTTAGAATATGTGTAAATGGTTAAGACTTCAAAGTGACTTTAAATGAGTTTTTTCTGTTTGTGCTTGATGTGTTTACTAGGTTGAAAAGTTGTTATCTTTTGAAAAAAACACCAAAAATGATATGCCTGTAAATTCAGTATCCTTCATGGTCAGAAGGAACTCAATTCATAACATAATTAACATTGTTTTTCATTTTTTCTGTCCTTGTTCGATGTGTTATAGGAACCAACAGAACAAACAAGCTAACCTAGTTGAACTTTTTCTTTTTTTATTCGGAAGAAACATACCTTTGGGTTCTGTTAGCATCTTGGCCATTCAAGCATTCACTAATTCATTTTTCAAGATGACACTAGCAAATCTAGTTTCCTATTTAATTCTGAGATGATAACAGTTTTCAAAGTCAAGTTGATATGGTTAACAATGTAGATGCGGCATAGTGATAAGGAGTGTTATTTCATCTCTGCTAGGTATTATCTATTTCTTTTTCACATGAATCTATCTAATTTATCAACTTTAATTGGGTGCAAATTGCTTCTCGCTCAATAATATAAACGTTATCTCTTTAGATCTCACTGAGCATACCCAATTAGTCAGGAAAAATAGATTTCCAATATGTTCTGATGGCATATATTTTTTGACATGTGCATATTATCTGCAACCTCAATAACAATATGTGTCTTTTATGATGTCTATAGTCCACTGTATAGGAACTGATAAGATCAACCCCAATTCAGCGAACTGCAGATGACTAGCTATTTTGGAACTCTTCGACCTTCATTTTCATTAAGATATATTATCAGTATTGGTTGCATTGAGTCTGTCACTTGAACCAGAAGTCTTAATTTTTTTTTTTTTGTGCATTTGCTCTGAACAGGTATGCATCTGCCCCGCAGGAGCTTCGGACAGATTGGGCCAAATTTACTAAAGACTATTTCCTCAACCGCTCAACTTTAGTCTCTGTATTCCTTCTTATAGATGCTAGCATTCCTTCAAAGACAATTGATCTTGAATATGCTAGTTGGCTGGGGCAGAATCAGGTAAACTATTTCCTTTAATCCACCAGCTGAAGACTACTTGGTATTTAAAATTTTGACACCTAAACAGCTTATGTACCAATTGGTTTAATTTCTTAATGCTTCTACCGGAAGATGAGGGGAGGGTGAAAAGGAAGGAAACTTGACCTGGTCATTAATGTTTTAACTTTTAAATTTAGGAAAAAGTTATAGACCTCAATACGTTTTTTTTTCTTTTACTCAGATTCCCATGACATTAATCTTCACCAAATGCGACAAGCGCAAGAAAAAGAAGAATGGAGGAAAAAGGCCAGAAGAAAATATAAATGATTTTCAAGAGTTGATACATGGCTTCTTCCAGACAGCACCACCATGGATTATGACCAGCAGTGTTACCAATCAAGGTCGTGATGAGATACTACTGCACATGGCTCAACTGCGAAACTACTGGCTCAAACACTGAGGAAAAAGTTGTAGAACCTCCCCTTCTTGTTTCTACTGGTAGGTTTGATTATCTTTTTTCCCCATCATGTAAACAAACTTCCATTTTCTGAGATGTTCATTTCCAATTTCTGGCATTCTTTTCCTCGTAGTCCTGGTGGAAATGGAACAAATTCCCAAAGTTGTTCAAATACCATGATTTTGATGACATAAATTTTGTTGAAACTTTGAAGATTTTAAAAAATTATTACGACTTGATTAACTTCAACTACTTGTTCCTCTACACAATGAGAGGCAAAAAAGGTGGCAGATTTTGACAAACGATTCTTGTTGCTTAGAACAGATATGTATCCTGCTGGAGGGAGCATATATACAATGAAGAAATGGCAAAAGAATGCAATAAATTCATAAAATAGAGGATGACTACCACAGTTGATACATGAAGTATGGTGTTCACTGCAGAATGCAGACTGTTTAGTCATCTTGAAAAAGGTGTTGTGTTATTGGCCCCAAATGTCGTTTTCTTTTTGCGGTTAAGTGCAACCTAATACCGGATTATCATTCTTGTTGAATCTGTAATGTAAATCTAATAAGACTAATTTAGGATGGCTTTCCTTAGTAGATTGAGTGCCCCTCCATGTGTTCTTAATTCCTTTCTTCTATTGGCAATTCTAAATGAGTGAAAGTGAAACAAGTATGTAATCAGTTTGGAGGGAGAACACAAGGGAAGATAACTCTTATGTAGTCAAGACTTAGAACCCTTTCTTTACAACCTTCCTTAGAAACACTTTTGTTTATACTTGCGTAGATTAGGTTCTATTCACCACAACGAAGAAACTAAATTTGATTGCCTGGAAAGTTATGGTGCAGTTATTAGTTAACATTCAATGGCAGAATGAAGATACTCAATTCAGCGAATCAGCAGCACAAAACTGCGTCCAGATTCTGTTCGTGAAACTAATGAACAAGGCTTCATTTGTTATTTTATCATTAACACAATTTAGTGGAAATTCCCGATTCTTCCACCGGAAAAACTTACTTTTACAACCTTTACGCAACAGGAAGTTAAAGATTATCAAGGCATGGAACTGATTCTGAGAAATTGAGCATTTTCAGCACAATTGGCGAAACACAAATCATTCAACCCCATGACATTTACAACCAAGTCTCAAGGCCTGAGCATCAACCAATGCCCCATTATAGTCAAAACTAAATTTAAATTGCTACTATAAAGGGTCCAATAGCAGACTAAAGATATTCAAATGTTACCTAGAAAATAGTTTATGATTAATTGCATAGCAAGAATGAAGATCTATAATGTGGGTTCCGCATAGAACAATAAAAAATAATTACCATCCATAATCAAAATAATGTAGTTAAAATTTAGAAATCTCCAACTTTTAAAACAAACTGTGACTGATATAGAGTAACACTCATTGGACAATGAACAAAAATTTCTTGTTTGCAAACTCAGAAATAACATAACAAAACAGACTAGCATAGCTCTTCTAAACTTAAGATGATGCAGCCACGTTCTTCTTCCTTGGAGCAGCTTCAGTACCTAACCCAACAAAAATATAACAGATATCAACAGTCCGCAAAAAAAATTGCAGCATATAATTATCAGCCACAATGCCAATAACAAAGTAAATTACCTTCTCTGAAGTTGCTCTTGAACCTGCGTGGAACATGTCGGAGGTACCTCATTCTGCCAGTTCCAGTAGTCTTCCGGCGGATTGCCTTCACACTCCAGTTATCTAAAATACCACACAAAAGATCCATCAGACATTAGCCACACCGTATAGCAAATCACACTAGTGCAGACAGAGAAATCTGGCTTAGGCATAGAGAGAAATTATAAATCCTGGCTAAATATGTGGTGCAAGGAAGTGTTTCAGCTAGAGTGTAAACATTAGGGCAAGAATTCAGAGTAGTCAATCAAAACTACATTGCTTCTTCACTGGATGATAGCTCAACAGTTATGGAGGAACTCAAGACTAACGGAGAATAAAGGAATAATCAGGTAAGTGGTAGAACTAAAAAATAACGATGATCAGGTAATTTGCAACAACAATTCTTAATACCTTAAACCCTGAAGGTAAAGAACAAAATATAGCTTCTGCATACACTTCTCCCGAATAAAATGAAAATTTTGCACTTAACCTAATATTTGCAGCCACATTACAAGTAACTAGCAACGAAGAGATTCTTCCACAAGAACCAAATAAATCATCATCAAAAAACCTAACGGCTTAAATCACTCAAAAAGTAAGTGCTGAGACAAACCACTAGCACATACTAAAAAGGCATCCAAAAGTGAAAAAGACGACGAAATAACTTACATTTTCGAAGGCGGCTGGCGGGGTAAGCACAGGCACCGCATCGGCTCTTCTGGATGTGGAAGCTCCTGCGTCCGCATCTAACGCACAGTGTGTGCGTCTTGTTCCTTCTCTTCCCAAAGCTTCCTGTACCTTTTCCCTGATCAAACGAAAACCATCAATACAATCCTCTTTCATATTACATCATTTAAACATACAAATAAAGAGTACCATTTCTTCAGTTGCAGAAAACCCTAGACCTTGAGCAGCTGGGGATTATTATTTTAGTGGAAATTTGTTAAAGCGTTCTTATAGTCAAGAAGTGAATTAGGGTTTTTCTTGGTATCATATTGGACTGGGCTTGTTGTGGTATTGGTTAGGCTTTGTAGCTTAAATGTCCCATTACCAAGGTACTAGAGCCCAATTTTGGTAAGTGCTCCAGTCATGAGCTGTTTTATGAGCCCTGTTGGATTGGGACATTACAATATAATTGAGCTCCATGACCCATGTATGGACTCTAGCCCATTGAATAATTTATATGTGATGAAAAATTGAAATTACCAGTAGGAATAAAACCCTTTATTTTTATCATTGAACAGAAAAAACATAATTTACCATTTCTATCTGTACATTTTGATGCCAAAACTACCATTTACAAACATAAAATTTTCAATACTAGTTCTACCATTTAGATACTTGAACTTCACATTCAAATACACTACAACTTAATATACTTTATTGGTAAAGAGAATAAATTTTTTTAACCTGTTCTTATGATTTTGAAATCGATTATCTTATGTTATTAACATAACCTAAACACACTTCACTGTCCAACAACTTATTGTTAGGGCCAAATATATCCTCGGCCCAAAGATGAAGACTCCTTCAACAAAGCTCGGAGTCATGGCCCAATTTCGATTGAGCTCGCAACAGAGTTCGCACATTAGGCCCGCCTATTACACTTGCCATGTTGCTCATCGCTTGAGCCCAGTCAATAAAAGGTCCCGATTCGTTTGAACCTCATCATCAGCTTGCCTAGGTCCGAACTGATTGATCTTAGACCACTTACTGGACTTAGGGTCTACTTGGAGCCCAGGGTTGGCTACTCATTCCGACCCTATCCGAACTCTATCAAAGAGATCCATTATTTTTCAAATTCGTCTAAGATTCGTATCTTAGACCCGCTAAGACTCCTTTCTCGTTAAGGTAAGAGAGTCAAAGACTCTACTTTTTTATAAAACCTCAGTTCCTAAGGATTCACAGTCCTACTAGGTCTCGAAGATCCTACAGTTGCTATTTAAACAAGAGGTTAGCCCTCCCACTAGGACAAAACATTACACCTTCTAACCCCGTAGCTCTCACTCTTGAGAACTTCTTATCACAGCCATAGTTAAAGTCTCCGACTAGACTTTTGGTAACCTTCTCTTTCCCTAACTCTCACTAAATTAGCCTCATTTAACCTTGTTGACTTGAGTGTCAGAGTGTCTACTGCAAACATCACCCCAATGTTTACTGTTCACTTCATGCTTGTTTTCTTGCATGTACAGGTACAACGGATTGCTGGTGGCCTCAATCTCACGGGATCAGACCCTATTTTCATAGTGGTAGATTTTTTGCATCTACAGTTTGGCGCCCACCGTGGGGCCTCTGGCAATCATTCCTTTGTCAAACCCTGCTTCGCAAAGAAACTCTTTATGGCTGAAAATTCAGATAACACCAATCCTGGTCTCGAGGCTAGACTCGAAGCCTTGGCTGCCCTTATACAACAGCATTTAGACAAGGTGGCAGCACTGGAAGCCGAGAACGCCGCCATCCGAACAGAAAACGCCTCCATCCGGGCCGAAAACCAGGCCCTAAAAGAAAATGTGAGTCAATTTTATGACCTTGAGCTTCAGCCTTGTCAGGTACAACCCAATCATTTTCGCGCATCGGTTCCGTCCATGTAGCCTCTCTAGACTCTAGATCACAGACTGACCGCCTCGGATACTAAATCGCATAAACTCTATTCAACGCTAGTGGACGATTCAGCCTAGAATCTAATTGAGCGAGGATTGCCAACAGAGCCACTTTTGATCGACCCACTCCAAGCACGAGATCAAGACATCCAAATAACAGAAAGCCCACTGCGACAAAAGCCATCCATCCTTGCCATCCCGCCTCATCTCCAATCAACCATTCCTACCCAAACCCTACTCAACTCGACTCACCCGCGTAGGTCGAGCAAGCTCCCTCACCTTCAATCCACTCCGCTCGAGTCCATCCATCCCCACGGACCGAGTGACTCTCAAATAATCCCTCTCAACATCCATACAGGCCGAAACACCCGATCAGTCACAGTAGGAACCACCTAACACTAGGGAATCAATGAAGATCCAAATTACCAAGCGGCACACGATGGGACGATTCACCAAACTATCCCACGTGACTCGACCCAACGAAACATGTCGAGTGCAGTCATATGACGAACCAAGCCAACCAAGCCAAATTGGTGGCCTCCGCCTCGCCCATGGAGAAAATATTGGCCAAAAGATTGATCGACATAGAGGTAATGATGAGGCGTATACCTAGAGTGTCAATCCCAACCAAAAAGAGTCAACCTCACAACTATGCCGATTCACCCTTTGTGGATGTAATTGCGCTAGCCGAGATGCCACATAAATTTACCATCCCCAGCATGAAGCCTTATGATGGCACAACCGACCCGGATGACCACATAGCCTCATACAAGTAGTGGATGTTCGCCGCCTCAATACCCCAAACATTGAAAGAAGCCTACATGTGTAAAAGTTTCAGCTCCAACCTCTATGGACCAGCCCTTCAATGGTACACTAACCTTCCAAACAACTCAATCAGCTCACTTGGTTAGGTACGCCGAGCGAGGGCACATTTGTGTTTCACCTCCATTTATCCATTCGGTCTGGTATACCGAGTGCGTCACGTACAATGAAAGTTATACTATTCGACTCCATAAACTGATGAGCGGCACCTTCACATGTTCAACCATTCG